GTACGATGGGGAAATCCCACAGCCAGAGCTAGAGCCACGGAGTCGCAGATGCTTTGTCGGAGACGCCGGTGTTTGCGTCATCCCGGGGGGAAACAGCAGCGAAGAGGAAGAGGATGAGGAAGAGGAAGGAGAGCATGGCATGCATCGGGAGGACAGCGACTCAGATGGCCCTGTGCTTTATAAAGATGAAGACTCAGATGAAGATGAGGAGGATGAACCCCCAATTAGTAAGCATAATGATGTTTTACGACATATAAACATTATTTACTGTTTTCAAGAGCTTTGTCGTTCACACCTCACCACATCTCTTCTTGGTTCTTCCAGGCGCCCTGGCCAGCAGGGTCAAGAGGAAGGACACCCTGGCTCTGAAGCTAAGCAACCGTCCCTGCGCCCCGGAGAGGGACAGGTTTGCCCAGGACAGGAGCAATAGAGAGGACCAGCCTCCAGGACAGACCGGCCTCACCTGGCAGAGCAGGGAGCAGTGGGATGCCATCCGCACACAGATCGGCTCTGCACTCACTCGGTAAAGACAGACAGCACCAAACTTGCAATTGTACCCTTAAAACTGACAATAGTGAATGTGCATTTCGTGAAGAAATCTAGAGATCATTTCTTAGATCTTTGTCCTACTTATTGCCTGAATGGCAAAGTGATGAAACTGTTTAAAAATAGTCCCTTCTCTTGTTTTACTATTTCAGGCGACTAAGCCAGAGACCCACTGCTGAGGAGCTCGAGCAAAGAAACATCCTTCAGCGTTAGTATCAAAGCTTTCTTTCCTTCTCAATGGTTATCCATTACAAAAATCTGTTTTGAGTGTGCTGTTCTTAAGCTTGTTGGACTTTAGTTTTGTGGGGTTTAACAATCATTACAGCTCAATTTGGACTGATGATTTGTCCATGAATGAATTGTTTATGTAAATAAGCATTTTATACATGCAGTATAAGCAACAACATCCACTTGAAAAGACTGTTTGAAATGCGTATTGAGCTTGAGATGTCTAATTTTAGAAACTATTTGTCTTTACCTTTGTAGCACATGAAGTCAGGCTTTCATGCAGAAACTAAATAAAGCTCTGTTGTCTGTTTTCCTTCCCTCTTTTTCCAGCTAGAAATCGGTCTGACAGACAAGCGGAGGTTAGAGAGATCAAACGGCGGCTGACCAGGAAGGTGAGGCGAAAACCTAAAAAAAACAGACGTTCAAGAGTCAAACCATCTACAGTGCTTGATACTAAACTGACATGTGTTTTTATAGCTGAGTCAAAGACCCACAGTTGCAGAACTACAGGCAAGAAAAATCCTGCGGTTCCACGAATATGTGGAAGTCACAGATGCCAATGATTATGATCGGAGAGCGGAAAAGCCGTGGACCAAGCTGACTCCGGCTGACAAGGTCTGTTTACTGTGTCCAGCAAACACTTGATCTCTCAGCAGTGGACTGTGTTTTACATTTTATCAACATCAAAGAACAATGTTTAGCATTTTTCCTTTTGTTCACGCCAACTCCCTCTTTCCTGACATCCAGGCGGCCATCAGGAAGGAGCTCAACGACTATAAGAGCACTGAAATGGAGGTGCATGAAGAGAGCAGGATCTACACGAGGTATACCTTTGATCAGAACGATCTTGACAATTACAATCCTTTTCGACTTCAGTCCTGGTTGACTTGGCGACAACTGTGGTTACCGTGGTAACAGCGAGTGGGCTTTAATACTACAGCAAATACTCTGTGTGCAGCTACTGTGTCAGAAGTGCAGCAGAAGAGCAACTGGTGTATCTGTCTACACAAAAACACACATATTGCTCCTACTGTTTCAATAAAGAACAGAGCCAATCTGATTCCACAGTTCACACAGGGGAAGTAGTTTTCGTCAGATGAAAGGGCAACATTAAATGGAGTTTCCCTGCTAAAAGTCAGATGATTTCTGCAACTCCTTTTCTGTAAGCTCACTAGCTGTTTCTTCTTGGACCCATACTCCCTCCCATGCTAAAAATGATTTCTGTCATGTTGTCTAGAGACCATAGACTGTATAAGGTCTCCAGACGAATGATTGATCTCAGCACTTTCCTCAGTGACAATAACATTGTGTTTCCTGTGACTATTTCACAGTAAAAGCCACTTTGTTTGTCACCTAGACACTTAATGTCCCTGAATAGTGATTTTGCATTAGCAGTAACTGGATACAGCTCTGATACAGCGTTAACACAGAAGAGTAAACAGTGGGGCAGATATAATTAGGATAATTAAAAGAAAATCATTAATTTAAACCTGGATTGCATGCATCATGTAAATCCCTTCTGCATAGGAAGTTAAATCAAATGCAGCACAGGATTTGCAGATCCTGACGCCAACAATTAAACCTACTCTATAGATAGATGACATAATCTAAATACATGGAATGGCTATTGCTGATCATAACAAATAATGATCATAAACAATATTAACAACAGGGTTCAATTTCATGGAAATATTGAGTATGTATTATAAATATAAAGGTCTGTTTCTTATGAAATCTCTTTGTTTTGTTTAGGTTTCATCGGCCTTAGCCCCCTTCTCCTCTTTGTGGATTATGAAGCACTTAAGATCTCTGCGTGGCCAGAAGCTGCTCCCTATGCAGACAGATCGCCCTTTTACATTTCCCGAATGTACTGTACAGATTATCAGGGAAAGCCTAGAACTGACTCAAAACAAGAAATGCTTCTTGCTTGCCCTCCATCGCCCTCCCACTACATTGCTTTGACTGAACTGAGGTGGTGGCGGTGGTGGTTGGGGACCAGATGCAGTATTTATCCCGGACAACAGGGGGAACCACGTGCCAATGAAGGGGGAAGTGGCGGAGGACCTACAGGGCTGACTCTGCTGTTGTGTGGTACCCCTCAGGGACTGGATCTAGTTACAACCTTTAACGCGGCCTCATTCTGTGTTGCCTTTTTTTCTTCTTTACTGTATATGGAAAAGCTAACTCATCTTGTTAATGTAATAACACACAATAATAATAGTAATAATAACGACCATGATGATGATGATGATGATGATGATGATTCATAATACTCCACACAGTAATAATAGATGAGAGAGAAGCGGCTGCAGCGACGAAGACTGGGATATTCTGTTATAGGACTGGACATCTCTGGGATATTGTGTGTTTTATATAAATTGTGTACAGACTGCTATTGTTATACCTTAGAATGAAACTTGGAAAGATCTTATTACGAAATATTCTGTAATGCACAAGATATTTTATATTGTAACTTTGATCACATGATTAGTGACCGCTTTTATTTGAGCCTTTTTTTAATGTTTATTTGGCTTGCCTGTATTTATGGTTGTGATGTGAGGTGGCCATTTAAGCGTTAATATAGTACAAGGTGCCGGTCAGGAGGCTGGTTGGTGTTTTTATCTGTGCCAACTTACTCGATGCCTAAAGGACTATAGAAAACTGGTTTTCATATCACTGATTTCTGCAATTCACTGCATGAGCCAACACAGAATCCAATGCTGTTGGATCTGGATCTTTTCTCTTCATTTATACTTTTTTATGAGTTTTTGTACTTCCCTTTAAAGGTCAAACATGCAATGCATTCTGTAGCCATTTTGAATAAGGTGATGCTAGTATGGTCTATACTAGAAGTTTAATGTAAGTTACTGTGCGTGTAGATCAGGGATTTATCAAAACAAATCAGAAAATATATAAACGGTTAACAGGGAGTCATTTTGGCTGGAACATTTTGAAACTGCAGAAGTGTTTTATCTTAAGTTGTTGTCTGGCCAGTAGCTTACAGGGTTGTTCATGCTGTGTCCAGGTTGATATAGGTTTAACCGATGCTTGTGTATATCTTGTCTTCCTTTCATTTGAAAATACATTTTAAATATAAAAGTAATATAGGTTGCTATTTTTTTAAGCACAAAATATTAGTTTACGATTAAATGCTACAAGAATGGGAATATGAAAGAATACCTTTTCTGTAAAATTAAGTTCCTTTTTAATTGAATGTGGAATTGTACGGACTGACAGTTTTCTTTTTGATTGTAAATAGTCACATCTGGATCTAATTAAAAACCTTACAAATCCTTGACATCTCTAGTCAATGACTGCACCTGGCTCTTAAATCACAGACCTGTCTTACCTAAAGATGGGTTCATGTGGAGATTTATAGGGGAAATAAAACCTCTAAATAAGAACATGAGGCTGCAGCGACACCTGGTGCCAAGGTACAGTAATGTCTCACTGTTGGGATGTATTCTAGAGATAATGCATCTTAAGAGGTCTAGACGAGGAAACTTGTAATACATTTGATTTGTAAAATATACATCCTCATGGTTTGAAGCAGTTCTATTTTCAAAGAGTGACGGGAAAATAACAATAATTTCCTATTTTGAGTTGAAAAGATAATACAGGTATAATTTATTGAGGTATACATTACACTACCTGACAGATCTAGCTGTTTAAGTAAGATGCAACATTCAAGGTTCAAGGTTCTTTATTGTCAAACTAACATAGCTACAGAGTAATTATGTCGTTGAAAATCTTAGGTCTCAGGTTTCTCCAACAATGCAACACAATAATACAGAGAAGCAGACAATATTAAAACAATATTAAAGTATATTATATTAAAAGTAATACAAAAAAGTGAGAAAAAAAAAGTGGAATAGTGCAATACGAGTCTATATACAAGTTATTGGAATGATATATTAGAATTAGATAATAGATCAATAATTACTAAGTAGCAGATGAATGTTATGAAATTGTTTCAGCAGTTCAGTTGTTTAACAGTCTTATTGCCTGCGGGATGAAGCTGTCATCAGCAGCTGTATCAAACAATAGGCAAGACATTAAGGTTTGCCACTTACAGGAGACATTCTGCTGCATAATCAGTAGGCCTACTGTTTATTGATATATTTTACTGTTTTTATCTGAAACTTGAACGTAGGACTTCATACTATTGAGTTTTCTTCCACCACTGCACATTGGAGTGCTACTGTCTCTTTAAGTAGGCAGGGGTTCCAGAACGTGACGTCGTACGTATGATACGTGTTTCAAGACCGGGAACCGAAGAGGCTGTGCACGTTCACTTCTAGGCAAACTTCAGACTACTACATATAAGAGGTTAGTAAAATATCAGCTCCTAAACTCCCCAACTGAAAAATACAAGCGATAACAAACACGTCGTAAGCAGTGTGTATGAGTCCATTCAATAAACGTTACGTGTGTTATTGTATCTCATTCATTTTTGAATGGCATGCTAACGCCGCTTGCTAGCTAGCAAACAGCTCATTCCATTAGCTAGTAACATTTAGCTCTACTTTAATGCTAACTAACATTAAAACATGACTTCTGCATTCTACATTCCTCATGTATAAGTAGCCAACTGTGTCACATATAGTTTAACGTTAGTCATAAGGAGAACTGAAGCACAGCCATGTAGCTAGTCTCATATCCTCGCTCTTTAACTGTTAGCAAGGACACATGGGTAAGTTTACTGCCAACGTTAGATCACGCTACTTATTTTTAAAATGCTAAATGGCTGAGCACTGGCAGCACTCTGAACAAACATATAACCTTTGGGAGTCAGTGAGAGCTCAGCGGGACTTCAGTTTGTTTTGTACTTTTGGGGGGGGGTTCATTTCACAACAGCATGGTAGCAGAAGCGGACGAAGCACAACTGTATGTGGAGTGAAAGTCTGACACTGTGCCAGCCATTCAAATGACTTTCTGACAGCTGTTGAACATGAACGGCTGTGAGAGTGTTGGTTAATGTTACGACCAAAATAAGGACTGACTGATTGTGTCTGTCAACTGCGTTTGCCAGTAGGCTTGTGAGCTTATGGAAATGCAATATTGCCTAAAATGGATATACATCATTCTGAAAGCGCCTCAACATCGGTCCCCGGGAACTTAACAAAGGGGCATTCATGCATTTGCAAATGTATCACAAATGTCAATAAATACATTAATTGATACATTACTTAAGCTCTGTTTAGCTATCTAGTATTTTTTAGACGTTTTCTTTGTCAATCAACTCCCCTTTAAAGGTGGGGTAGGTAATTTTGGAGAAACCAGCTCGAGTGAGCTAGAATTTGGAAATACACAGCCGGAAAAAATCTGCCACTTCCTTACAGAGCCCCTCCTCCAACACACACGAACGGGCACATGACCAATGAGGGCACGAGATAAGTTTGTGCACAGATGGAAGGCTGACAGGCAGGTAGGCCATCCAGTTATTTTAGCCTGGCCGGCTAAAATGATTGGTCGTGCTTTTTACAGTACTACCCACAGATGACATTTTTATGGATTTTTTGTCAAAGCACTTAAGATATTCATTGCTATCGGGATGTTAAGAGCATTCTATGGAATATAACAAAAAGTGTATCTCAAGCCGGTTTCTCAAACTTACCTACCCCACCTTTAAGTGTCAGTGTACTGTTAGCTCTAAATTACTTAAATTACACTGTATTTGGACATGACACCTACACTCACCATATGTTAGTAAGATGTTCAACTGCATTTGTAATCTTGGTGCACTTTCTGATAAAAACATTTTCATGTTGTTGTTTTTTTCACCTGCAGCTCAGTGACTTTAACCGTTGATGGGTATTTAAACATCTTACATCAAATTCATCCTATGTTTTTTTTTTCTAGAGTCATTAAGTGTTGCCATCATGCCTGCTAAAAAGACTACCACCAAGAGGAAGTTTGAGCCAGTTGTTGTGGAGGAGAATGAAGGATCCAAGAAAGTGAAAGGTAAATAACTTGTGTTTTTAAAAAGAACAGCGTTGGGAAAAGGCAAACAGACAAGACTAGACAATGAAAATCTATTAAAACATGGACCATTGCATATGAACATGGACAACAATACACACCCATTTTTTAGGAGCAAAACGTGTCTCACCACACCCCCACAGATTTCACAAGCTGACTCGTGTCCTATGCCTTTTCACTTTTTTTATGCCACCGTTAAGTTTGGCCTCGTAAGACTTATAACATCTTGGATCAAATTGAATACTGATATACAATTGTTTGTTTGTGTGTAACAGTTTCCCACAGGAGCCATGGCAAGGAGGCGGGTCAGGTTCTTGTTCTGGGCCAGGGCGATGTTGGACAGCTGGGTCTTGGCGAGAACACCATTGAGAGGAAGAAGCCAGCCCTTGTGTCGCTGCCAGAAGAAATTGTGCAAGTGATAGCTGGAGGCATGCACACAGTGTGCCTCAGCGTCACTGGCCAAGTAAGGATGCCTCTGTCTTCATTATTTCAAATTTCAAATTGAATGGCTTTAGCTACCGGCTAACATTTTTTGTCTTTTGTAGGTCTACACTTTTGGTTGTAACGACGATGGAGCCCTTGGCCGGGACACATCAGTGGAGGGGTCTGAGATGGTTCCAGAGAAGGTGGTGTTGGAGGAGAAGGTGGTGCAGGTGTCGGCGGGGGACAGCCACACAGCTGCGCTCACAGAGGAAGGGACAGTCTACATGTGGGGCTCCTTCAGGGTAAGTTCCTGATGCTTGTAGCCACCTAGGCCTGTGCCTGGAAGTGTGTGTGTGTGTGTGTGTTGAGAGATTTTCCCTACATCTAGTTAACTAGTTACTTTTAATTCTCTTCACCCACAAAACTTGGGAGCACCAGTAGAAATGTTCAACTTACACATTGCAAACAGGTCTCCAAATAATTCACTTTTCCGATGAAACGACAAAAGTAGAAATTGTTTCAAACATACAAAACAATCGAACATCAAAGTAAATCCTCCATATTAAACGTTTAGGTTCTTTTTACTTTTTGTTGTATCTCAGTGGTATTTGTCTCATTTTCTTTCAGCCCCATTTGAGTTGGATGCTACATATAAATTACGTTAATAGCTGTACTGAGTTACTCCTGATTAGAATCCGAGCAAATAACACAGAGTCTCCTGCTGACTATTTGATTAAAACACTTTAAAACTCATTAGCACAGGATTTGAGTTTGAACATACAGCATTAATTAGGTGTGTAACGCTTATGAGACCGAAACTGCAAAACAATCCACAGCTTCTTTATTTCTTTTGTTGGTGCTCTGGATTTTTTAAATGACATGGTTCGGCTAGATTTGTACTGCTGAAGTATAACATCTCCTTTAACCTAACACTCTGTAGGTGCTGGTGTTTAATCATTTGTCTGCACACGGATAACATCGGCTATGTAATTACATTGTTTGATGTCTATCGTTGGTTACTTAGCTGAGCTTCTAGAGATCATAGTTCAGTGACAGACGGACCGCGGTCCGGATCCGGACCCAGACACCGACCTATACGGACCCGGACCTATAATCAATACTTTAATAGGGGATTTCAATTTTGACGGGGCGATTCTATTTTAACCGCTGCCGACAGGGGGCGAAAGAGACGAGTGAGCGATTCAGGGAGAGAAACACAGAAGAAGAGAAGAGAGAGCGACAGATAGAAGCGGAGAGGAAAGTGAGTGAAGAGAATAATTAGCGATACAGGGAGAGAAGCGGAGAGGAGAGTGAACAGGCGTGTTAGCGGCAGACAGGGAGAGACAAATAATTACACATGGCGCTCTCCAAGAAGAGGAAAGTGGACAGTGAGAACAGAGCTTTTAACCCTGAGTGGACTCATTCATGTTCATCCTGCCCACTGGGAGCACAGAGCCAGTGTGTCTCATTTGTTCAGAGACCGTGGCGCTCATTAAAAGTGCCAAAACGCCACTATGAGACAAAACACAAAGTGTTTGACCAAACATTCCCTCTCAAGTCAGAACTGAGGTCACAAAAAATAAGCAGTCTCAGAGCCCAATATGATCAGTCCACCAGGATCAAAATTAAAACGAAATATAGTTCCAGGCCAGTGGCGGCTCCAGAGTATTTTTGTTGGGTAATCTATGGTAGGGCTAACCCATACAGTGGTGGGGCTCAATTCAGTATTTGCAATGTAATTACATACACGCTATATTGCCCCCCTTGACAGTGAAACGCCACGCGGAGGTTTAGATTATTTCCCCGTCTCCTTTTTTCAGCAAAATTACATCGAGAGCAACAGGTGTGAGTTAAACCAGTGGTTCTCAACTGGTCTGATTCACGACCCACTTTTTTCCCTCGTCAATAAATCGCGACCCAAAGATATAATACCCAAAAAAGTGCTGTAATATATGCTACTCGGCATCCACTTTTAAGTAAAGTGAAGTACAGTGCATACATTTTCAGTAAATGTAGTCCATGGGAATAAACCCACATCCTCAACATTGTTTGTGCCATGCAAGGCAGATGATATCCCTTCACAGAACTACAGTATGCTTTTTAAACAAGTTTAAACTGATGATGGTCATCAAGTTTCTAGAATCCAAATTGAACTGTATGAAATAAAAAGGCACATTTGTCTTGTAGTAAATAAAAAGGGCGACCTGGAGCCAATCCTGCAATTCCCCACAGGTGAAAAAGTTGAAATGCTGAAAACCCAACCCATGCAGGGGGGTATTTTTTGAAATACTAACATATAAAATAGACATTCTGGTACTCTCTTGAGAAGAAAATAAATAAGTCTATTACTACACGACATGTTTAAAAAAATGAATGCCTTTTTTGTTACTTTGTTCTGAAAGCTGAACCTGCTGCTCCTCACAGAGAGAAGAGGGAAGAGGCTGTGTGAATTACTTTACATTGTGGATAAGGGTGGATAGCCCCCATTGTTCTGTGTGTCAAAATGAAAGACAGCCCACACACCCATCAATCATCAAACCGTGGGGTCTTATTTCATTACGTGTTGATTCCTATCAACACGTAATGTTGTATCCATGGATGTATAAAGAGTAGTTCTACCGCAAAATTATTCTCCGTCGAGACTTCCTGCAATCGTGATTCTGATTGGCCAGAAGACATTAGCAAAGAGGTTTTATTGAGAAGACGATCACTATGTGACAAAAGTTTTCAAAACCGTTTCTAGTCTTCGGCATTTCCAGACAAGTGGCTACTGAAATCAATCTTACTGCTGTCTGTGCAATTTACTCGGCGCGAGTTGGCGGACTTTTGTTTTGCTTACTTTGACATAATTGTTCATGGTGGGGTCTAAGGTGGGGCTAAACCATTTCTTGGTATGGCTGTAGCCTACCCCAGCCATACCCTGGAGCCGCCACTGTTCCAGGCTAACCAATGAGCACCTGCATGTGTGTATGAGACATGACACCATTTCAGCCCAGATATAAACTCCTGGCAGGACAAGCTCCAGCTCAATTCTCGCACTGAACAAAACAAAGTGAGTGAGGGACTGCAATATAAGAGGGAAAGAAAGAGAAACTTTAAAACTGTTAAATTGTTATGATAAATTGTTATGTGTAAAGACTGATATTGTTCTATAATCAGCTGAAACTGTTAGGTCATGATGTGAAACGGTTAACAAAGAAAAAGAGAAACTCAAGCTGCTGCTACACTTTATTTTATTTATCTAAAATTAAGCACTTTTAAGATGCACACATTTTCAAACGCTATTTTATTTATTTTCTCTATTTAATTGTTAAATGTAGCCTGAGAGGAACATTACACATATCCACAGTATTTACTGTATATCTGTATAGTTCAATGTTAATTGACAATAAATATTGTTGTTTTTGAATTGTACTTTCTTTATTTGATTGGCAGTCAGTTGTTGATTACATGCACACGTTGATAAAGCTACAGGCTACTTCAATATATATCACACTAATTCATAAAGCAAGTTAGACATTTTGATGTTCCGGACCTTTGCATGGGGAGATTTTCTCTAACTGGACCTCGTGGAATTTTAGTTGAATACCCCTGTTCTAGATCATCAAACACCCCTCATCTTGGTCTTGATAAACTTACATGCCCAGGGCGTCCGCGGGGTCTTAAAAGTATTAAAAGTTGATAAATCAATTTAGCGAAGATTAAGGCTATTAAAAAGTATTAAACGGCATTTTCCAAGGTATTAGGAAGGTCCACAGCAACGACAACATGAAACACCCTTTAATTTACTGCAACGACATGTCGGGAAACCCCCTCAAGGCGGCCCCATGCATTGCGTGCTGTAAAATGCTGCTTCTTATTTTAAGTTTCGTTGCCTTGCTCCGCTCTGGGGGGAGGGGGAAAGAGTGTGCTGGGGCACCACTGATGGTGATGAAAGCTGGTTTGAGGGGCCCCCACAGACTCTAGAATCGCCACTGTCGATGGGGAACAAAGCTGTCCGGTCCCATATGCTAAGTGCTAGCCAGAAAGCCTGCTTTGCTGACTGCACGTCGCTGACACACACCGCTGTAGACTCTCTGCACTCTCTGGAGTCCGGGCGATGCTGCTCCTCCAAGGAAGAGACACACGTTCAATAAGCCGAACTATATCCGGTCACAAAGATCTGCTATTTTAAAGTAAAGTCAACACATATCGACCCTAAATATAGTCCATATTAAGAACGAGAAAAGTCTTAACATATCGTTTTTTGTAAACATATCATATGACAAAAGTGCGAGGGGCTTAGCCCCGGACAGCTCCGGCCCAATTTCACCCCTGGGTATTTGTGAGGGAGCTCCTATATGACATTACCCCGCTGAAGCTCACCAAAGTTTAATATATTTCATAGTTCAAAGTTTTGTTTATTGGTCAAATACTGGTTTCTAATGGTTTCTGAGGAGTTTTACTGGAATGAAAGAGCACAAAGTCTACAGAAGCAAAAAAGCAGCATACTGCATTAAAACCTGACCTTGACAGAGAGGTTGAAGTTCATGTGGAGAGGAGGCTTCAGTAGTCTGTCTGTTTTATCTCTTGGGAACAATGCCTGAATCAAATACTACTTTCTAATGGTTTATTTTTCTAATAAACCTTGCATTGGGTTGGTCACACAATGCATTCTCTTGTGCTTTGTTCTATCTGAATTATGATAAGGAGTTTAGTTATCACAAACTGTTTAGTTGTGCTATCTTACAATCAATATAGTAAATGTGAGGTAATGTGTGTCGCCAATGTAACCGGTTAGAACTTGAAGTTGCGATGAGGTCTTAAAATGTATGGAAAGGGTCTTAAAAAAGGTCTTAAAAGGTCTTACATTTGACTTCAGGATTCCTGCATATACCCCGATGCCTCTCCGCTGCTATAATAACAAATTAACATTTTCACGATTAAGCTCTCCATCTGCAGTTCCATAAATGATCCCGCATAAAGAGCAAACTAGAATTGTCTACCTCACATCCTCTCCTCTGTTTCCTCTCAACCTGAAAGCCTATTTACCCTGCATTTGATTCTCTGCTCAGACCTGAGGCCTCATGACGGATGTTCTCACCTTACACTTTTTTTTATTTTGTATTTTGTATTAAATGATTTCCCATGTCCATCTGTCTGATGATCATTGGTCATGCTATTCCTCATTGTTTTTTTTTCTCTGTACTTATTATCACTGCTCCTGCTAGGTTACATGTGTGTTTTCCATTAGTAATACTCAGTGGCACACTGGCAATTACATCTCTATTGCCTCTGCCAACCTTCTGCAATCCCACTTGATGTTTGGCAGTGCTGATATTAACTGTGTGAAACACTCTGTAACGTTGTTTTTAAAAGAAGAATATTATAATTATCTTCTTGTTATTGCTAAATCATATTTTTGAATGATTTTTATTTGTCCATTTTACATCTGATCAACTTATTTCCATTCAGAAGAATTGGCAGCCATGCAATACTTCATGCTTACACAACCTGTGTGTATCTCTGGGGGTTTAACTATTAAAAAATACTGAACCCTTTTTTGTCCAGGATAACAACGGTGTAATAGGTCTTCTGGAGCCGATGAAAACATGCACTCTTCCAATCAAAGTCCCCATGACAGAAGCTGTTGTGAAAATTGCATCAGGTAAGGAACATAGGTCTTTCATCTTGTATGTTTTAGTTTGCTATTGGTACAATTGCTGCATACAATGTTCCTGTTTAATCTTTGCAACTCCTTTTTGACAGGAAACGACCACCTTATACTGGTTACACTGGAGGGGAATCTGTACTCATCGGGCACTGCAGAGCAGGGGCAGCTGGGCAGAGTGCCCGAGCGCTTTTCAGACAGAGGAGGCAGGAAAGGCCTCGGTAAGTTCAACAAGCCTTTCTAAAGACAAAGCATGATGTAACAAAAGTTATCAAGATTTGACATAATCATTAAGCTTTGATTTGTGATGGCATTAACAATAGAAGTTTCCATGTCTTGTGTGAAATATGGCTGAGGCGTTGGGACTGACGGTGTCCTGTGATTTCAGGCCGGTTGCTGGTACCACAGATCGTTAAAGTTAAAGGAAAAGTTCACTTTGTCGATGCCTTCTGCGGCGCGTACCTCACCTTTGCTGTGTCAAAAGACGGCTATGTTTATGGATTTGGTCTCTCCAACTATCATCAGCTGGGTGAGTAGTGCACATCAGTGCCTTCAGCTGCTGTATCATCTGTCACTGCTTTACATTTAGCTTAGAGGCCGTCGCTCACCTTCTACTCTAAGGTAATTGTACCAGACATTGTGAATTGATTTTGTGTTTTTACCCCTGTTTTTTTATTCAGGCACTAAAAGCACCAAGATGTGTTTTGACCCAGTAAAACTGACCTGCTTCAAAAACTCTACCACTTCCTGGGTGGACTTCTCTGGAGGACAGCATCACTCACTCTGCCTCGACGCTGAAGGTAATCTGCAATAACTGTTAAACTACATCTGTATTTTTTGTTGTTGTTGTAATTTACAATAAAACCTCAACTAAACAAAAGGCAATAAAACAACAACATGGCTGGAATGGAAAGGCCAAAAAGTGTTTTAAATGTTTTTATCCAAGTATTTTGACACAAAATATGAATGAATCCTTTTTGTCTTCACCCTAAAGGACAGGTATACTGCCTGGGCAGAGCAGAGTACGGCCGTCTGGGTCTGGGCGAGGGGGCCGAGGAGAAGAGCGAGCCCACGCCGGTGACGGGGATGGAGCCGGCATGCAGGCTGTCCTGCGGGGCATCGGTCAGCGTCGCCGTCACCAGAGAAGGTGAGGAACAACGCAAATGCAGCCGAGGATTGACGAGTGATCATCTTTTAGTCTGTGATATAGAGAGCAATGTATTTCTTGATTTTAAGATGACTTTCTGCTGTGTTACTCAGGATCTGTGTACGCCTGGGGCATGGGCACCAACCTGCAGCTCGGCACCGGAGATGAGGACGACAAGTGGAGCCCCGTGAAGATGACCGGCAAGCAGCTGGAGAACCGTACAGTACTGATGGCGTCCAGCGGAGGGCAGCACACAGTCCTTCTGGTCAAAGACAAGCAGGAGAGCTGATGTCCAGCGCAGACAGAGAGCTGCTGATCCGTTTGGAGGTGGGGCTTTTTTCACAATGACTAAATCTGGGGAGGGGTTGATCTATCTGTGACTTCCTGTGCTGAGCCGAGAGAGTGTGAGAGGTTCGGACCCTTTTACGAGAACACTTCTCTTTCTGGTGTGCGAAAAATGTTCATGGATGTTCTGTAGATCATGACAAATAAGAGACTATTTTTTTTAAATCTAGTTTTTGATGTTCCCTTTGAATTCCTTTCATAAAAAGTCATTCAGTATGACTGTAAGATGTTATATGTGATGTTTGTGAATGTGACTGTTGCATGTACGTAAAGGAAATAAGAGTGCAAGCTTTTAATGACTTCCCCAAACAATAGTCTTTTTAATATTTTTTTCTTTAAAGCAATAATATCGCTGACCTTGGTTCAGACAGGACAGTTCTACTCGATGAGTTTAATATGTGAGACTACTGTTCATTACTGGGCACACACAACTGGTTGTCACTATTTGGATATTTGGTAACACGTCACACTGTATACTGCATTTTATTGCTTTTCCTGCCTGAAAATAAAGATACAATTTTAAGTTTTTAAACCTGTTTTTATCCAATGCATTAGACATTTTATTGCAATTTGATCATTAACTTCTCAATTTCAGCTCTTGTACTATCCCAGTAAGGTTTGGTATTTCAGTCAACATAGAGGACCTTGAACAAGTTCCAATAAAAAATATGTTTTGGTTTAAAGGGGACCTATCATGCAAAATGCACTTTTGTACGTCTTTTATACATGAATATGTGTCCCCGGTGTTCCAGGGAACTCACCAAGTGTCAGAAAACACAACCCTCTCTATTTTCCTCCATACCCAAATCTCTAAAAAAGGGGCTGCAACGGATCTGATAAAAACTGATCCAGATTTGAACACTGTCCTGACGTCAGGACGGTGGCGCTACGGCTATTGGGCCAACTCCACCAATCAGGAGGAGACAGCCACGGCCATTGCCGTTCGAAAGCGCTGGAGACGCTGTAGTACATATGCCAGGCCTGTAGATGGTGCTGTTCTGCTAAAACAGAGCTAAAAAATGTCAAATTGAGCAAAATGAGGCATGGCTAAAATGCATGATCTGTTTGGTATTTTGAAAAAAAAAAAGTATAAATATGCCTTATATAGGTATGGTCCTACACTATATTATTCAAATATAGCATGATAGGTCCACTTTAAGCAAATATAAGCTGACCATGCTCCTTTTTGAATGAACCCATTTTTCAGGAAGCCATTTTGAACTTGTTGAAGACAACTAGTGTCCCCTGTTAAAGATGGTGAATTCTGATTTAGTTTTAGTCCCTTGCTAATCGCGCGTATGAAAGGTTTGTCGATAATAGTTGGAAGTTCATACAATTTTACATAAATATATATTGTTGTATAGTAAAACATTTACAGAAAATCAATCACAAAAGCACTTTATAGGATAATTATAATCGGAATGAATTTGATATCTGACAAATCAATAGATTTCATAGAAACTGAGTCAAAATAATGCTAAAATCTGATAGTGCCATAAAGCATCAAACATAGTCTGGTTCATTGTATACCGACACTACAGGGAAGACATGGTCGTGGTGTAATGTCCTGGCACCTCAACACATTTCATAGTTAGGCTGTAAACTGATTCTACACACACCGTGCCATGTTCAACGATCCAGGAGAAATTGCCTTCCAGCGTGTTGGCACATCTGGCCAGCAGTTGCCCCCGAGCTGCCCTCTGTCTATTATGTATGCACGTAACACATTCCACACAGACATATGAATGTAAATCAGAAACACTTAAGAATGCAAATGATGGTACGAGTGCATGCATCAAAGCTACATGCTTTTGTGTTTTATCTGGAGTGAAATGCGCCACGTCCTTGTTCGTCTCATCCAGCTTTCATCTGTCCAAAGGCCGCACGATGAAGTATAAGAAGTCCTCGTGGCCGAAAGCTTCTCAGAAAGCTTTGAAATGTTGAAGTATCTTTCATAAGCAGTTAATTGATCCGAATGAACCTCTTCAGTTGTTTGTGTAGCATCGATGTTTGTCAGAAATATATTTGTAGGTTCACTGCTCATCTGTTAGGGTTGCACAGAGTGTTTTATAAGCAGGAGAGATGGCTATTTTTAACCAATGCTGCTACTTCACTCTTTTTTTTTTTCTTTGTGGAAAAACATCTCAAATGGTTCTGGGTAATAAGAGGTAAAGTGGAAAAGCAGTGGAAAACATCACTCGTTGACACAGCTGCACACCATTCTGTTTCGTAAAAATGACATGTTTCTGCTATGATGACTTATGGCTAGGCTACTTGCGAGAAAATGAAATGCAACAATATTATAATAGTGTTGACTATTGTTGGCTTTTATATCATCCGTAATGGGCATATAATGAAAAAGTGGGCAAAGGAAAGTAATAGTGCATCTACAACAGTCCGGTGATTTCAGAAAATGACATCCATTTACTGTAAAGCAGTCTTTTAAACCATGACACTTATAATGAATTAGGGTAGGAAAAGAATGTGAGGCATCATCATTAGTTCAATATATTGCCTAGCCCTATAATCAGTATAACCTGTTATAGCAAAGATTTCAACCAAGAAGGTAATACTTTCCCTAGTTCAGTGATAAGAAAACAAACACCAAGCTGAGTACAACATAACATATTCTCATTAATTACATTTTTGTCGCCTGATGTGCCTGAACTTTAAGCAATTCCCATTTGTTTTGAACTCTTTCAGGAACAACTACAGACCAAATTACTCCTATTATATCTCCTTTCGATTCCACACCTTCAGGAGTAGAATTGAAAATGTGATATTTTGAAAAGGATTGGTAAATGAGTCCATTTTGACTTCTGTTAACAGCTCTTCCACATGGGGCTGGGCTATTGAAAGTCTGATCATGCCCTTCAGTAAAACCCAGACACCTCCTCATACATTTCCAGCACAAAGAGGAAACATTCATGAATGACATCCTATGATTAATTCCTCTTGCTAGAAAGTATAACGGTATTTTTCTTAATACATGTGAGCTGTCATCTTCCTCTATTTAAACTAATCACAGAGGAGAGCACCTGTGTCTCCTTCTTCACATCCTCTACGCTAAAGGAGCCTTGTTATTAAAGCAAACGGCTGCTTCTCTCAGAGCGGGACGTGAGGCTTTCATAAGCTTTTGTTCTGGAAACACTGTGTTCACTCACATCTTTAACAGGCTCCATGATGCATTCACAAACAGCAGCATCATGATATTACAATTAGAATGGAACAGAAATGTGCATCATGAAGCGTTGATTGGGATGTGGCAGCCTTTGAGTCGTCCTGCTGCTTTCCTAATCAACTTGTCATTTTAAGTTGTATCGAGTGCCGGTGCTCAAGTGTGCCTCAATCAAGAAATCCAAAGTTTTGTGATAATTTGAATGCTTTGGAGAGGCGCTACTCAGGGTGGTTTTAATCAAGTGGCTCATCATAGTGGCAACCTGTTGAATACAGCGCAGCAGGAAGCTGAAATCACTGCATTCATACGCTGTGTCTCTCTCACAAAAAATGTTCTTATTTGTGTGTTTGAATTTGGGAAGTTGGGCTGTAGAAAGAATAAAATGGTAAATAAATAGAGCTTGATTTTACTAACCTTTAAAGGTCACCTATTATGCAAAATCCAAATGTCATGTCTTTAATACATACATATGTCTCCTCGGTGTAAAGAGATTCTGACATTTTAAAAGGAAAGCTGATCAGATTTCGGCCACAATGTTTTTTTGGGTTGTGTAACCATTAGCCAATCACCAAGGTAACCTTATCACCACCTTATCACCTGAATCTCCTTGAGAGCACCGTTGTGTTGTTTTTTTAACCAAACATCTCACAGAGGTGGGGAGGGCAGTTCAGTTGTAGACAGACAGAGGCCCCGGCTCCATGGGAACGCATACGGCAAAACGCATCGGAGTAACGCAAACGCAACCGCAAAAAACCTTCCGCCCACACGCAATATACACCGGATTGTGTCAAGCTACACGAGACAGCTCCGTTTACATCCAACCACTGGAAAAGCTGCAGTACATATGCCGAACCTGTACGTGGCGCTGTAACTTCCTCCACAAAAGCAGCAACTTCCTCCACAAAAGCAGCGAAGAAGAATGGTTGTCATGGCTGCACTTCTGTTTATTCTCCTTGGTGGGGGCCGACGGAACCGGGCAGAGTTTTTCGCCGGTCAACGTGTGTTAAAGTTTAAATCTTCCGGACAAAATTATAAAAGTGCCGGTCAAAGGTCTTCATTGTTATTTATTGAGCTTTAAAACAAATGAATAACGACGATATAATGATATATAATCATAAAATACACGGAGCCTGTCTCTTTTTCCTCTCTTCTCACAGCGTCAGTGTCTGTCTCATGCAGCAGCTGATCCTGTAATGAGTGACCCGACAGTAAAAATGAACATATTTATAACTAGTTTAGGTAGTTTGAGAGGTAATTAAAATAGCTAAGGGTGATGATCTGACTTGAAGTGTGTGTTTTGCTCCCGCTGCATCACAGCGGGAGGAGCTGCGTGTCTCCGTCCTGTCAGATTAGACTTCACTCGCGTTTATGTCCATATCGAGATAAAGATAAATAATCTGAATTCAGTGTGCAGTGTACTTTTGCGGGGGTGAGCAGCAGAGGCGGGGAGAGGCGGGGCTATTGCGTCGTCATTATCAGAAACGGATGACCGTATAGGCGACCACACGGCCCCGTTGGACCCCCCAGAGCGCTCCGTTCCCAGATCTATCCACCTTTGGACCCGTTGTCGTTTGCAGGGTCTGTTTCTAAGTTTCCGTTACGGCGTCGTCGAGCTTAAAGGGCTATACGCATGAGAAATATGCGGATTCAACCCGTTTTCGTTCCCGTGGAGCCTAGGCCAGAGAATCAGCACTTTTGGAACAGGGCTGAAACAGAGGGGATTATGGGATGCTACAATGCATGATCTGTTTGGTATTTCAGCAACACTTCAGAGACATGTTTTGTATATATCTAAGACCTATAATATATTGTTGAAAAAGAGTATAATAGGGGACCTTTAATTTAAATTGAACAACTATAACATTTATTTTTATTATTTACAATAGCGTACTATAAAACCCCATAATAGAGCATTTCTTATTGTTTTATTTGAGACATTTCGTTGTTACTATTCAGACACATGGGTTTTAATTCTACCTGCCGTGTTTGATCATTAGTAGTTCAATAATTAGGAACAAAGCATTGTATGTTTTCTACCACTGCTGCTCTCTAATGACAGATTCATGTGCTAACCCTAAACGTATCCAGCATATAGATTATAAAACACTTCAAAGAAATCTCCCAGTGTTTAATAGCTTGCATTTTTCAGCTCAAAAATCAACTATATGGATGCTGATACATCTGATAAATGCTGCTCTGAGCCTCAAGGGAATATAAGGAACTATTTTTCAAACCTTATCTTCAACCAAGCACATTATTCACTTCAATACTGTCACTCTTTCTTTGACTTGGTCTGAATACATTTGGTACAAAGAAATCACAAGACAAATTCCCCAGGCTCTTACTGAAGCATT